CCTGGAGACACTTGTCCCTGTTAACATTCTCCCCATGGGACAAACGTCCCTCCTCCCCCATTCTCATTTACTCAGAGAGACAAGTTTCAGTGGAATGCCGAATCTGAGTCTTTAAAATGACCCTGCAGGGTATCCTTACTTGTATAGATTAGACTCATCATATCAGTTTGTGCTTAGTAGGTCTGAGGTGCACTGAGCCATAGTCTGTGGGCTTTGCCTCTCTGACAAGCTCCCAGGAGTGACCCACTCCTGGCAGTCCTGTGGATAGGACCCCATCCCCGAGTTGAGGGCCACTGCCTCTGCCTTGCCAGCAGGCGTGCGCACCTTAGGTGGGTGCATTAATTCTTCATAATGCCGAAGAATTAAACCCGGCCTGCCTAGTGCTCCCGCGTTTTCCGTCCTGCTCTGGATCCAGGTGCTTGGGGACACGAGCCAGCGAGACCCAGGTGATTGGATTAGCAAGCCTGGCTCTCTCTCCGTCATCTGTTCTGAAAAATGGCATCAGATGGTGGAGAGATCTCGGGACTTGGAAGCAGACCAGGTCAGCTTGGCATCTGCCCCGCAGGAGGTGTGACTTTGAGCTGTTCGGAGCTGTAACTGATGCAGAGGTGAGCTGGCTTGCCTGGGCCTCAGCTTCCCCATCTGCGAAATGGAGACAGCGATCACCCTGGTACATCTCCCACCCCTACACCTTGTATTTTGTGGTTCGGATCCTGTTCAGTCTCCCTGAGTGAAAGAAGAGGAAAGAGTGGAAGATTCGAGCAAGCGGCACAAAGGTGGGCTGGCTGAGCCCCAATGAGGATTGGGGAGGTCATTTGATTCCATTATGATTGTTTATTATCTACATGTTTTAGTACTGGGGGCAAACCCGAGCCCTGTGCCTGCCAGGCAAGTGCTCCACCACTGACTCTACCTGTTCCTGAACATGCCTCCGTTACACAGCGGGAGAACTAGGGCTCAGAGGCTGGAGATCACCATTGCTGTTCCTGTCTCTCCAGACGGGCTCAGGACTCTCAGCCCCCCCCCCCCCCGCCTCTCTCTCACCCCACCATTAATAAAGAGCCAGGTGTGCACCCCAGTGTACCTTCCCTGACCCCTCTCAGGAAGCTTCCGTTATGAATCTTGTTAATTGCTCCTCCCTCTGCTCCCTGCTTTTGAGCTTGTCTCCTTTCCTGCCTCTCCCGGCCAAGACTGAAATAATAAAAAAGTTTTATTAGGCCTAAAACTGCTTTGCTAAGTGCCGCCATTAGCGGATAATAAAGCGGGCTCTCCAGGTGTTGCAACCTGTTTTTATGTTTCCTGCTAGTTGAGCCTCTGGGTACCCTGTGGTCCTCAGGATGGCAGGCTGGAGCATTGAAGACAGGAGCCCTCTGTCCTTATCCCCAAACCTGACCAGCTAGGGAGGAACTAGATCTGGGAATAGATCCTCAGGCTGGACCCTGGGGAGACCACCAGGGTGCTGGAGACCTCAGGATTCTACCTCAGAACACACCTTCCATCTGATGAGGAAATTGGCTCTGGGAAAATCTAGTCTAATGGGGAACAAGGTCTTCCCTTGGGAGGGCTCCCAAACTGACAGGAGAGGCCTTGAAAGAGAAATTTTCTAGGTTGTATGTTTATATGTGCACATGTGTACATGTGTACATGTGTATGCTCATGTATGGGTTTGTCTGCACAAATATGTGTGCATGTGTATGCTCATGCATGTGTGTGTACATGTGTGTATGTGTGCGCATATATGTGTGTGTGCATATGTGTGTGTGTGAGCAGGTGTACGTGTGACTGAATGTCTGTGGAGGACTGATATTGACATTGGGTGACTTCCAGACACTCTTCACCTGGAGCTCATGATTCAGTTAGCCTGACTGGTCAACGAGCACCAGGAATCCTCCTGTCTCAGCCCTCTAGTTCTGGCATTATAGGCACACACCACCATGTTTGGCTTTTTACTGTGGTTCCTGGGTAGTTGAACTAAGTCCTCATACTTGTGTGGCAACCTCTTGCCAACTGAACAAGTACTCAACCCATGTAATTGCTATGGAACACAGACTGGAGCCAATCCGTGTATCTGAGATACTTGCGTGTGACTGTCATTTTACCCTCACGTCAACCAGTGACCAAGTGGCTGTTCCTGTCCTCATGAAGCAGCTGAGGAAACTGAGGCATGAAAAGGTGATATTACCTCCTGAAGCCACCAGTAGCGCTCTGATAGGAAAACTGATGGGCTAATTTTGGCAGATCATGGGGAGATTTATCCCCTGGCTACAGTAGGTGTTCAATAAACTGGTTTCATTGCAAGACTGAGAAATCCTGACCTTCCTTGGACTCTGTAGCTGGAGGGAGAAGGAAGCCTTCCCAGAGCCAATTGAATTCAACTGGTCGGGTCTGTCTCCACCACCCTCTTTGCCCCACACTGGCCTGGCAAGAACCAGGCTGCCTTCCCAGGCCACCTGCACACAGCTTAATAGGCCATGAAATGCCATTACCCGGGTGGGGCTCAACAAAATAGCTTAGGTTATTGCTGGCCATGGGGGCAGCCTGCCCTGGAGGAGGCCCAGGTAGTCTGTCCCTGTACTTTCCTCCTGTAGGAGTTTCTGGGGCAGGGAAGGATGCCCAGAGACACAGGGGAGAGGAGTAGGCAGGCGCACAGAAGGCAAGGAGGAAATGGAGAGGAGACAGGGAAATTGGTAGAGGCCTATGTGTCCATCTATTGTGCCTGGTCTGGAAACTGGACCCTGTGAAAGGGTGAGCAAGCCCATGGGAGGCAGCAGTAAGCATCAGGCTACATCCAGCCTGGGTGGGAGGAGGGGGACACTTCCCTGACTTCGCTTACTGAGTCCACATCTCTCCCGGCTTCTTCCCTGGGGCTTGTCTTTAGTTAGGAGATGTGAGTTTGGACGATGAGGCAGCGATACACAAGCCCATGGGAAACACTATGGCTGCCAGGAAATGTGGCCAAGAGTGCATTCTGGGGCCAGTGAGGGTGCTGCTCACTGTGGGGGCGGCATCTGTTACTAAACATGATGTCCTGAGTTTGATCCCTGGAACCCACATGATGGAAGGAGAAAATCCACTCCCACAAGTTGTCCTCTGCATATCAAAACAGATGTGTGTGCTAAGGTACGCATACATGAACACACAAAATAGAAAAAAAAATGTAAAAAATAAAATAGTGGGCCAGGTGTAGGGATATACATCTGTAATCCCAGCTGAGGCAAATGGACTTTTGTGAGTTTGAGACCAGCCTGAGCTATACAGTGAGACCCCATGTCAAAAACAAAAATAACATAAACTGGCTATAGCTCTGTGTAACAGAACTCCTGGCAGCCGTGTGTCTATCCATTGGAAGGGACACATTTTATCTATGGAACACTGTGACAGTACAAATGAAGGAAGTGGAGACAGGGATGACCACCCAGAGCCAAGTGGGAGAGAAGCAAGCCCACCTTTGAACGCTTGCACGTGGATGTGCCTTTGTGAGTCATCTCAGGACAGAGAGGGGCCAGCAACTGAGATAGGGCAAGAGTAAGCCAGAGAAGGGGCCTTTGTGGGCAGGGATGCGTCCTGAGTGGCTGGGGCTCAGGCCCACTGGGCTACTACTGAGAAGCCGGTAACATGAGATATGGCCTTTCCTGTCCCCTGCTGAGGGAACCTTGCCACCAAGGATACTAATTTCTGGCCATGAAAACTGTGCTTGGATAGACTGAGACCCCTGGGATACACACACACAGAGATGTCCCAAACCAGGAAAGCAGAGATGCTGCTTGGGATGACCCTCAAGTAGTACCCCAGGGCTGTCCTCCTGAAGGGTCAGTTGAGGGACGGGTTGAGGAGAACAAAAAGCATCTTGCACAGATTCCATGCACACACGTCGGGCCTGCAAACACGAAGAACTACCATTGTGCTCCAACGGGTATGTGTGTGGTAGAACAGAAAGATTGTTGTGTCAATGTCCAGGCTCACGTTTGGACACTGGGTACCTGTGGGGAGAACCCCAAAGGAGGAGCAGCAGCAACTTTGGAGGCACATGCTGTGTCTGTTTAACTGAAGGGTGTGCATCCGGTACTGCAACACGGCTCTCTGTGTGTCAAAGATTCTTCATCAGGACTGGAGAGATGGTTTAGTGATTAAGAGCACTTGTTGCTCTTGCAGAGGACCCGGAGGACAGGATTCAGCTGCCAGAGCCCACATGGTGGTTCACAAATATCTGGAACTCCAGTTCCAGAGGATCTGTCGCCCTTCTCTGGCCTCAGAGGTAGGCACTGCGTGCACATGGCACATCCATGCAGGCAAAACACCCATACACATAAAATAAATAAATCTTAAATTTAAAAAAGAAGATACTTCATCATAGACATGTCTGTGGAAGGACCTCAGCACGAACCATTTGGAGGAGTCATATTTGGCTTCACAAAGGAGAAGACAGGGTCTTGTGGGTGGGGGGACCTTGAAGGAGAAGGCCCAGAGCTGAGACTGAGGTCAGCCGGGTACAGCTCAATAGCTGTGTGGAGGAGATGAAGGTGTGATGTGATGGGCAGGGTAACACATGCCCGGTGCACACTGTGTTAAACATGATGAGGTTATCAGAGCGGCGGCAGCAGGCTAGCGATACCGGATATGCTGATGCCAGAAGAAAGTGTAATAACATGTTGGTTATCAGATAGCGATCACCTACGACCTATGTCATTCTATGCTGTGCCTACCATTTTGCCACGTGCTCCATGCCCATTTACACTGCACACAACCTTACAGAGTCTAAACTATTCTTGTCCTGTTTTACACATTTGGAGACTGAGGTACAGGAAAGATGAGCGTTCGCCTGAGATCACACACTTAACTGGTGGCAGAACACGAGCTGGTGTCGAAGACAGCTACAATCCCCGCTCACCCCCACCATTGCCCTGCCGCTTTGTGCTGAGTGGTCACCTCAGGGCGGTCCTCAGCCCATCCCACCCCATGTCAGTTCCTTAGGGTGGCAGTAATTCTCACCCTGCACTCACCTCTGATGTAGTGCTGTGTACTGGGCAAAAGAACCTAGCCTGGTCTCAGTGGAGCCGAGGGTGCTGACAAGGAGCTGAGGCTGACTCCTCTGCACCCAGGCCCTGCTAGAGCGGCAGACATGCTTGTTCAAGACCATCTCTCACAGAGGGGAGCCGGACTGGACAGGTGAAGGTCCCAGCTGTGCACAAACAAACAGATCATCCCACGGGTCACATGTTAGTTCAAAGACTAAAGGTGAAGACAGCAAGGCTGACGGCACTGCCGTTACACTGGGGATCCGCCATGACACCGTGAGATGCCATCACGATTTGGGTTAGGGGATGGGACTGGCTGGTACAAGCAGGCCATCAGCCCTACAAACCAGCCCACGAGTCTGTTAGCTTTCCATTGAGTTTTCAGAACCAGAGCCTAGGTCAGTCCCTCAGGCCAAGCCTTGGAATTAGCCAGGCGTGTGGTGCTCATTAGCAGTAATGAATATCCCTCATGGAGGTCCTTGAGCAGCTTGGGGGTGTGTGTGGCTTCTGTGTTAAGAACTGAACATTTGTCCTAAGCAGTGGGGCACTGAGGAAGCATTTGCCTGTGTGTGGGGGGGGGGGGGGGGATAAGGAGCACATTCAGGGTATGGAATGGACATGTGGTCTCAGGCATGTATACAGCTCCTAAGATGTGTGTCGTGTGGCTTGTTTGCCTAGCGTGAGTTTGTGAGGCGTGGGCACTCCGTGCATATTTCTGATGTATGTTAAGCCTGTGTGACACGGCACTGTGGCGTCTTCTGCAGGTCTGCCTATGGCATGTCCCCAGGATGCGGGTCACAGGTACACAATGTACATGGGAAGGACTCCATCCGCAAATGTGCTCAGCCTGAGGGACTCTGTCAGTGTCAGAGTAGCAGATCCTGGGCCTCCCCATGACACCAGGGAGAATTATGGCCCCGCTTAGCACTACCATAACATTGGTTGCAGGGAGGACAGGTGAAAAATGTCCCTGGGAATAGAGAAAAGGAATTTGACTGGCTCAGCAGAGGCTGAGCTGAGCCTAGTGTGGTACGGAAGAGCACTTGATTAAAACGGAAACTCTCAGAGGTCCTGAGGAGGAAAAGGGCAGCTCGTCCTGGAAGACAAAGAAATGTGGTTCCCCGTAGTAGAAGTGAGTGGAGGCATGAATGAAGAAGCAGGCCCTTGAGGGGAAAGGGAGGCATGGGGCTCTCAGGACAGTCAGCCTGTGGGAGCTGGGTTGGGGTGCTGGTGGACCCGGGTTCCCAGATGAACGAAAACCCCTCCTCCTCTACTCCCTGCTCCTCAGCCACACAGCCAGCTTTTCCTATAAAGTGACTGTGTCCCACCTGGGACACTTCTGAGACTGGAGAGGACTATTAATAATTATGCCAGGACAGCAGGTACAAATTGGGACTATGTCCAGTCTGGGCGTCAGGAATGTCCCAAGGCTCGCAGGCCAGGAGGAGTGTGGGTAGAAGGAACAGCCTTTCTGTGTCCAGGCTCGGCTAGGCCTGGCCAGGCTCCTAGGAGGCTCAGAGAAGCCCACCTCCCCCCAAGCATACCCGAATAATTAGGAGAAACTCTACCTTAAAGTAGGGCAATCCTGTTGATACCCACCCGTTTCTTCAGGCTCAGCTGTACCCACAATCCCACTGGGTGTTCTGACCACAGGGGCTCTTGCCAGAATTTTCTGGATAGAAACAGGACTGGATCCAAGTTCCCCAGATACAACCTCTTATATTTATCTAACATGCATTTATTATTTGGCTTCCTAACTCCTGCACTGTGCAAGTGGCATTACACCAATATTGCAGGAAAAAGCTGAAAAGTCAAAACAAACCACCTCGAGTTCGACCACCCTAGCAAGATAATTAATTTCATTTTTTTGAAGTCCCTTCTGATTCTTGTCAGTTTGCCTATGTTTTCATTCCATTGTTACAGTGTGTACATAATTCTGCATTCCAGGTCTTTCATTTCACATTTTATCATAAGCATTTTTTTCATGAAGCACAGTTTTCATCAATATTTTAAATGGCTGCATAATAGTTTGTTGAGTTCATATACCATGATTTACTTAAACAATTCCCCGACAGTTGAACATTTAGGTTGCTCCCCATTTGGGGCTATTACAGATAATGTTGCCGCAAACATCACCGTGCATGTGGAATGCTGGCTACTCCTGCGAATGGCTCCGTTGGACAGGATGTCATGATGGGGATTACTGGGTCAAAGTAAACGAGCGTTTTTATAACCCTTGCCATACTGCTTTCCAAAACAATTGTTCCAATTTCCGCCATCATCTGTAATGGTGTACCGGCTTCTATGCAACGTTGTCAATGGGGCTTCTTATTGTTTTTTCCCCTCAATTGCTAATTTAGGAGGTGTGAAATGGAACTGCCATGATGAGTTAATTTACATTTATTGGTCTCCCAGCAAGGACAGATGTTTTCTGTGTTATGAAAGACTCTCTCTGTGCTAATGTGTTTATGTGCATGTGAGCATGCGTTCACATGTGCTTGCAGACATCTGTGCACGTATGTGTGTGTACATGAGTAGCCCGAATGCAGCATTGGTTGTTTTACTCAGTCCCTCTCCACATTATATTTTGAGACAAGGTCTCCCAGTGAACCAAAAGATCACCAACTGGGCCAGGCTGGCTGGGCTGTGAGCTCCTGGGAGCTGCCTGTCTTTACCTCCACCCCACCCAGTACTGGGATTGCTGGCATGCACCTCCACACCTGGCTTTTTATAAGGACACTGAGGATCCGCATTCAGGTCCTGGGCTGGTGTAGCAGGCACCTTACCCACTGAGTGTCTCCCCAGCCCCACAAAAGACTTGGATAGATACTATTACTCTTTGGGCTACAGGGATGGTAAGACAAGGGCCCTGTCTTCAGGAAGCTCACAGTCCAGTACCGTGGGCCTGGGGCTGCTGGGAAAGCAGACTGGATACTCTAGGGGAAATACTCCTAGAGAAGGTGATGTTGAGGTATCCCTGGAAGGAGAGGCAAGCTGTGGACCCAAAGAGAGAAGAGCCTGATGTGTGGGGGGTTTAAACCTCAACAAGAGAAGAGAGACTGGAATATATGGGATAGCCAGGGACCTGGGACAGAGGATAGAAAAGGGGCCAGCTGCAATGTGACACAGCTAATTGGGGGCAGGGCTATCTGCCACGGGACTCCCAGATTTAGCCCACCCTCTGAGTGATGGCAGGACAGGCTCGCATGACTTTGACCCTGCTGAGGGATTCTGGGAAGCTGCTGCTGCTGGAAGCTCTGCCCACTCCAAACTCCTGAATCAGCTCTTGTGTTTATTGCACCCACCCAGGCAATTCTCATCTACACCAGAGTTCAAGGTGTCTCTCTTCACCAAGTGTGCAGCTGGCTACGCAGCAGAGCCACCTGCAGACCTGGAGAGAAAAGTCCCCTGCTCAGGCCCCACTCCTAGAAGTCACCCCAAGATCTGGGGCTGGGATTTAGCACAGACATTTTTCAGAGTCTTTGGGTGCCTCTCAGACACAACCACTGGTCTCGGATGTCCCACCCCTAGACTGGTCAGGCCTAGTTCTCCTGACTCCCTACCCTCCTCCCTGAAGCAGACAGGGGGATGCAACTGGAAGGCATTGTTAACGTTCATTCTTCAAAGACTAAACAGTATGGATGGTGATGGTTGTCTCTAAGCCTCGCACTTAGGAGGTAGTGGGAAGAGGATTAGGAATTCAAGGCCAGCTGTTTAAAGGAAGAGGAGAAGGAGAAAGGCATCAGTAACAATGACTAGCTGGGGACGTAGCTTATTCTAGCTTGTTCGTAGAGTGCTTGCTTAACGTGCTTCAGGCCCTGGGTTTGGATCCTCAGCGTTGCACCAAACAAGCATGGCGGCACGTGCCTGGAATCTTAGCATACAGAAAGATCTAAGTTCAAAGTCAACCTCAGCTACAGGCCAAGTTTGAGGCCTGCCTGGGTTCCTGAGACTCTTTCTGTGGGGGAAAAAATCCCATCATGGGTCCCAGAACCTGGGAAGCAGGTGCCTACCTACCTATTACTGGAAATTCATAAAAGCTTAGGTCTGCAGGCCCAGCCTCCATATCTTAGAGCCTGCAGGAACTGAGGAAGAGGCACTGAAGGAGAGACCACAGGGGCTCACACAGCACAGCAGCCTGGATCTTGGGTCAGCTTTCTCTCTCATCCTCCACTTATAGATGAAGAGATAGAGAGTTTTAGGTTTTAGCTGGAGGTCGTTTAGGCTGGCGAGAGCTGAGACTTGAAGTCAAGTCTGACTTCGCTGTGTTTTCCTTGTCCTCAGAGTAAGGAAGAAGACACCAAGCCCCTCCCACATGAGCTTTTCCCCCATCCTAGGCTTCTGGTCTTTTCCTAGCTCTGCAGGGGCCATGGTCCAGCAAGTCTTTCAAATGAGCCAAGCTAGAGTGGACCAGAAGATGACCCCCACCCAAGTGTCGACACAGGACCAGCCCCTCCCCGCAATGGCTACAGGCAGTGAAGGATGGGGGTTTGGGGGAGAAAGCGTGCACACACACACACACACACACACACACATGTTTGGGTGGGTACGCACTCCTGTCTTGGGCAGCAGCCCAGCTTTTGCATCTCCTTGCTGGAAGAGAGAGCTCAATTTGGCTGCAGTACAAACTCCCCAGTCACTAAACTGCCATCTTCATTTAGTTAACGCTCTTTCTGGGCAGACCTGGCTGGGATTCATCTTCATTATCCAGTGAGGGGCTCACTCCAGGCCGGGCTTTGATCTCAGAGCAGCAGAAAATCGCCTCGTGCAGATGATTTCCCCTGAAGGCCATTAGCGGGCCTGGTAGGAGGCTGAGCACCAGGGAGGAGCTACGACCGTCCCCTACCAACACAGGCCCCTCTCTGTCCGTACCTGTGCCCAGGCTGCTCCTTCCAGCCCCATCTCGCCTCTGGCCTTTAAGCTAGCAGGACTGAAATCCTGGCATCTTTGTGCTGTCCCCTGACCCTCATAACTACTGCTCTGCAGAGTCCTCTCACGTTTCAGCTTTGCAGATTCCAAAGCCTCGGCTGGGGTGGTAGCTCAGCTGCTGCTGTCTGGCTAGCGTGCACAAAGCCATGGGCTTGAGCCCCGGCCCCACTTTAAACCGGGTATGGTGGCACACACCTGTGTTC